TTCTAGGAATTCTCGGAAGATGACATGCAAGAACACCAAGCTGTGCCAGAAAGAAATTGAGCGCGAAAAGCAATATGAGAGGCTTGCATTTATAGATCACAGCAATGTTTGGCTGTTCTTGCAGGGCTTAGACGCCCAAGGTAGAAGCCGAGACAACAGTTTCTGCCAGAGAATTCGTGTAGCTAATTGACACAAGTTACTTCAGAAATTATAGAGGTTTATTGCCTAAATGAACATGATTGTCTGTCAACACAAATACCCAAGACCTGCAACGGCCAACGAAGCGAATGCAATGCGGTCATTGACGTTTGCAGTGGGGGGGATCTGCTCCCAGACAATTGGGCCGTGCTTGCGCTCTTCATTACATAATCGAAGAGCCAGTCACGTGCCGTGGCTGGTGCCACCTAAAGCATCGTTCCAACCAATCAGAAGCTGCCCCTGGATCCCCCAGCCCCGTCATTTTGGCATGTCCCGGGATGGTTCGTTGATGAAGCGACCGACTCTTTGCTCACCCCCCCAACGCCCCTCCCCTCCTGCTCATTCTTTCCTGGCTATCCCTCCGACACCCTAGCATCGCGCGACGACTCACTTGCTCAACATCACCATCGCTTTTGTCGCAACATCACTACGCGCCACAGGCGAGAAATACTGGCCGCGAAGAGATTGTGCGCACCCATTGTTACGCGCCTCGAACAAGACTGTCTTCGATAGACCGATTCCACCCGAAGAAGACGCGCGCGCCATTAGTCTCCAAACCTCCACAATAACGCGCTTCACTGTTTACACCTTCCGCCACCCACGACTCGGCACATCGCGTCCTCACCCGCATCGACTTCAACCCATCGACGTCCACCTTGGGCGCGTCTGACCTTTCTTGCACGTATACTCAGCTGCATTGCTTGCTTTGCATCTGGCTTGCGTCGCGTCCCATAGTTTCATCCTCGCCGCTCAAGGCCCCATCAGACGTTCGCTGCTGCCATGTTCTACTCAGAAGCTTTGCTGCAGAAGAGCGGTCCGCTCGCTCGAGTATGGCTGTCGGCCAATCTCGAGAAGCGCCTCTCCAAGACACACATCCTTCAATCCAACCTCCAGGACAGTGTTGAGGCCATCATCATGCCGTCGCAGGCACCCATGGCTCTCCGCCTCAGTGGTCAGCTTTTGCTCGGCGTCGTCAGGATCTACAGCCGGAAAGCCCGGTACCTCCTCGACGACTGC